AAAGACGATCAATCGATCAACTGGAGCTTTATATTGATTCTTGTAATAATAAAACAATAATGTTGTTTAAAGTAAAGGATATCGATCTATCTGGGACTGAAACAAGAGTTTAATATAAATATAAAACTAATGTTAACAAAAAGGAATCAAGAAAATAAGACTATGGTTTTATTATACTATGATTACAACATAAAATTTTTAAAACTAACGTTTATGCTAATGTTGGTGGAAATGAACTTAATGTTAATCTTGGATTTATAGATGAATAGGGATATGATACATCAAATTCACGTAATTCAATAATCCCATCAATTTGTTTTTCAGCAATGCTTGCATTTGAGAAAGCGTGTCCTCTCATGTGCGAACATAAAATCGAAATTAAAAATCTGTTAAATTGGATAAAGGCTGGTAGCACGATCGCTGCCAGATTATACCATACTGCATCCATCTTAGCCGATGGAAAGGTTTTGGTCACTGGTGAATATATGTATGTTGGGTCTAACCTTTATCCTTTCAGCAGTACAGAACTGTATGATCCAGCGACGGGATTGTGGACAAATGCTAGCAATTTAGTCACAGCACGATTTGGACACACCGCTTCCTTGTTGGGAAGCGGAGCTGTCTTAGCTGCTGTAGGATTGACTAGCAATACTATTCTTAGCAGTGCTGAACTGTATACGATAGGACGTTGAAACTGAAATGTTTCTAATCGGATTCGAACACAAACTGTTTTCATACTATTTATTCTTACTATATAAATCTTTAATCGCTAGTGGTTTTAAATGCTTCCAAATACACATAGATTCCTAGATACGCTCACACTATTTCACATTCTAACACCTATATTGGCTTTCCGAAAAGCGCTAAAAATAAGTGAAGAGACATGCGTCAACAGTCGCGGTCGCTGCTTGAATAAATTTGATGTACTGCATCGTCATCCAATAGTAAGAGCAGAAAAGTTTCTTATTATTGTTGCTTTTTCTGGTACTTCCTATGAAAAAAAACCATTGCACCCATGGAAAAAAATGATGAACACAGAACCAGCCATAACGCGTTGTTAAGACGTGTTTAGGTTGTGGATGTGACTGTGGGATACCGGTGGGGGCGTAGATCTGTGTAGCTAGCTTGTTCTTCGATACACATGCCCACATCATTCATCCACACCACTTACCCACACCCACGGGCTTTCAGAATGTGTAATTATTATTAAAAAAATATGTTTTTATAGTGACAATATCTTCGAAAAACGGACTCTAACTATTTTTTTCGAGTGTATATATATATATATAAATAATTAATGTATGAGAGAATGAACAAACAAATTTTTATTTTTAAGATATATCAAAAAGAAAACTATATATATATATAACATCAACAAAAAAAAAAAAAATAAATAAATTTCACAAAATAATCAATAAGACAAATTATCTGCAACTACTATGTGATGCTAATTCAATGCTTGAAAATTTAGGATCAATAAATATTGATGATGTTTCTGTTGGACTATGTACGACTATTTGACGAATATGTGTATCACGACCACTTTGATGATTTGATAATACTGCTATTTGAATCATCCATGTTTTTATTGGATTTGCACGTGCATCACGTGTTGGAACAATAACCCATCCAGCTGGTTCATGAATTTCAAAAGATCTTAATTCAACAAGATTATTATGATTAATACCAGTTCGAATTGAAATTCTAAGAGATAAAAAAAACAAAATTTAAGAGTGAAGAAAATCAAAAAAAAAAAGAAAATAATTATACTTTTGAGGTGTATAACTTTCATCAACTTTAAAATCAGAAAAAATACATAAATCTTTTATTTTTGTTTTTTGTTTAAATTGTATATTGACTAAATGTGGTTGTGGACCATCTGATTGCCAATATGTTTCAAGATTATCATCGAGTAATTTATCTACACCATGACCTAAAATTAAAAAAACAAGAACTTTCTATATTATTTATATCATTATAAATTCTTAGCTTATTTTAATATTTATCTAACGATAGAAATCTTATGTCGAATAATTGAAGGATTTCAATAGGAATAGGCCTTACCATGTATGTTAGTGAAACAAAGTAATTTTATCGAACTATACATTCGTATTCTCAACAGTTGAGCTAGTTCAGTAGTAGATCGAAGACGAAAAACTCAATCAACCTTTAATTTTCTTTTTACTGCAAGAGAATCTTTTAGTCTAACAAGTTAAGATCTTGAAATTGACATTGATATTAAAATATCATGTATCTAAGAAATCAATTATGTGTCAATTCTGGAGCAATGATTCTATCGTCTGACTCTTTGACTGGAAAAATGTCATTTCTATAACCTTTCTGGTCGAACCAACCGTACATAATTCACCTAAGATAGTAGATCGAATTCTAATTTTTTTGAGAAATTCTTTCAAATCTTTATTTTACTTATATACAAGCAGTTCGAATGAAATTATTTAAAGAACCTTCCTAAATTTGATGACTCATCTTGAATTAGAATATCATATATGTGGTTTTGTAGAGCAATTCGCGTCACATCGAAAAGTATATGCGAAATCCAGTTTTTGATGTTCTGAAGATCCATATGCTAGTTATAATCTCTAAGATAAATTTAAGCAAATTTTATTTTTAAACTCAACTCTATACAGTTATAGATGCTCTTCAACTTTCTATAATCAATACTTTGTATTATTGCTTTCTTCATTTCTAAAAGTGCTCTCTTTTCTTAGGCTTAGGTTATGTCTCGACTACTTGATATTCTAGTGTGTTCAAGTCTGTGCCATAGAACAAATGAGTATCAACGTGAAACTTTCACACTGTCAAACGCTATATATTTCACACAGAATAACAGGAACTCATTGTGAACTTGCAAGATTGTTCCCTAGAATAGCCTATTTGGTTATATGAAAGAACCGATATATTGACAACATTTCCACAATATTCAACGATATTAGTAAAAAATTTTATATGTCAATAATCAACACAACATCCCTGATGAATTGATATAAATAAATTTTTTATAAACGGAAAAAAATTTTCGGCCTCCAGACTCCTGGAGAAGAGTACGGATATAGAGTTGCAAGAAAGAGGTCCATTATTTTTATTATTTCAAGTATCTAAGTTTGATTGATACATGCAAACTCTAAAAAATATCTCATGTCCATTACAAAAATAAATTTTTCCATATCCTCGTACCCTCCTCCAATGGTCTGGAGGTCAAAAAAAATTTTTTTCCATTTACAAAGGAGTTATTTATACCACTACCAAATCCTGAAAAGTTTATTATTATTCAAATTCTAAAGATATTTTGTTTTTTTTTGCTTAAATACATACCAGGTTTACATGAAGATACATGCCAATATGCTTGTTTGGTTATATTTTGTACAATGCCTTGTCTTTCATCTTCTGATGGATCAATTTCTCGATTATTTTTACTAACACGAACTGGTACTGTGCAAATATTTGTTGTCATACTAGAAGCAAAAATCCCATAAAAGTTATATAAAAATAAAAGAGAACAAAAAAAAATATGTATTTTTATTTTATTCAAAAAAAAAAAGGAGAAAAAAAATTAAAAACATTCATTTGATTATTTTTTTTTCTTTTTCACGAATTTCATGTCGTTGAGTTGATTGATATATTAAATCAATTAATAAATCTTTATCAAGTTCAGAAAATTCTTTTTGTTGACATATTTCATTCGTATATTGTGAACATAATTCATAAATATAATCTAATAATAAATCAAATTCTGATGAGAATTGTTTAATAGAACAATACATTGGTAAAATTAAATTATGATCTAAACATAAATAATAACAAATTTTTTCTAATGCAGCATTTTTTCCTATTAAAAAATTTATTTTATTTGAATAAAGCATACATTTAATAGCTATATCATATGTTATATTTTTATGATATGTACCATTATAAATAAAAAATAATAATTCAATAAATGTTTCATAATCAATATCAGTTAATTCAATTGGTTTTATTTGATATTTTTCATTAAAATCATTTAGTAATAATGTACGAAAATATAAACAACGACAACATAAAATATTTCGATGTACATTTATTATTTTATTATCAATAAGAAATTGTACATCGAGTTTAGTATTATTTAATATTTGTTCATATAAATTCATCATTGCTTGTGGTAATGTTATATGATATAAATTTATATCAAATATATTTGAACCAATAAGTTCTATTTAAATAAATGATAATATACATATAAAAAAAAA